ATTGCTGTGATAAAACACCATGACCAAAAAGCAAGTTGGGAGGAAAGGGTTTATTAGGCTTACACTTCCACATTGCCATTCATCACTGAAGGAAGTCAAGCACAGGAACTCAAAACAGGGCAGGATCCTGAAGGCAAGACCTGATGTAGAGGCCACAGAGGGGAGCTGCTTACTGGCTTGCTTCCCATGGTTTGCTCAGCCCACCTTCTTATAGAACCCAGGACCAGCAGCCCCAGGATGGAACCACCCACCATGGGCTGGGCTCTCCCTCATTGATCACTAATTGAGAAAATGTCTTACAACTGGATCCCATGGAGGCATTTCCTTGACTGAGGGCTTCTTCCTCTGATGACTCTAGCTTGTGTCAAGTTGACACACAAAACCAGCCAGGACACAGCCTGTGGGCACTAGGGTTGCCTAGGGACCCCCAGAAGCCCTGTGTCTGGTGTTCCACCCTGTCAGCAAGAGCTGACTTCCTTGGTTCCAGTGGCCTCAGAAAAGGCTGTCCATGACTAGATTTGGTGTGATGGTGGACATTGATTGTCTACTTGGTAGAGTCTAGAGTCATCCAGGAGACAAACCTCTAGGTAGGTCAGTGAGAAACGTTCTACTTTGGGTTAGCGGAGGTGGAAAGACCTATTCTGGGTGTTGGTAGCACCACCCCATGGGCTAAACACAAAGGAGACAGCTGACTGAGGGCCACCACTCATAGTTCCTTGCTTCCTGACTGTGGACATAGTGTGAGCGGCTGCCTCACGCTCCTGCCACGATGACTCCCCATCACAATAAACTAGAACCCCTCAAAGCAGGAGACAAAATAAGCTTTTCTCCCCTTGAGTGCTTCTGTCAGGCATTTATTAGGCCACAGGTAACAAGAAAATTAACTAGTACAATGAGCGATCAGCACCGGGGCTCTGCACGGCAGCCCAGCCTTGATCCAAACAGGTTCTCACAGGCAGACATTTCTCTCCTGCCCACCTGTTCCCAAATACCTGGCAGCAGCTTCCGGAATAGCTGACTCAAAGGCTTAGTATGAATTATAAATGCTCAGCCAATAGCTCAGGCTTATTAGCAAGTAGCTCTTTTTTTGTTTTGTTTTGTTTTGTTTTGTTTTGTTTTGTTTTGTTTTTCGAGACAGGGTTTCTCTGTGTAGCTTTGCGCCTTTCCTGAAGCTCGCTTTGGAGACCAGGCTGGCCTCGAACTCACAGAGATCCACCTGCCTCTGCCTCCCGAGTGCTGGGATTAAAGGCGTGTGCCGCCACCACCGCCCAGCAAATTTTTTTGTTTTTGTTTTTCGAGACAGGGTTTCTCTGTGTAGCTTTGCACCTTTCCTGGGACTCACTTGGTAGCCAAGGCTGGCCTCAAACTCACAGAGATCTGCCTGGCTCTGCCTCCTGAGTGCTGGGATTAAAGGCGTGCGCCACCACCACCGGGCGCAAGTAGCTTTTATATTTTAAGTTAACCCATATTCTTTATTTATGCTTTGCCATGTGGCAGAAACTTTATTAGCATGGCACATTCATCTCCTGCTCCCTCTGTGTCTGATTGGCAACTCCTCTGACTCCGCCCTCCTTCTTCCCATCACACTCCACTTGGATTTCCCACCTAACTTTCTGCCTAGCTACTGGCCTGTCAGCTTTTTACTAACCAACGAGAGTAATACATATTCATAGTGTAGAGAAGGACTGCTCCACGGCAGGTCCTTGCACCCCACCCCCAGTGTCTGTCCTGAGGATGATGTGCCATGTGGGAGGGCAGCCACTGTCATGGCCATCACTTCTGCCTATTCCAGAGGCCTGGCTCTTCCAGGTCCAGGGGGTAGGCCCTGCAGTGTGGAGTCCTAGGACAGATGCTCCACCTGTCCTGATCTTACTCATGCTCTGTTCTTATTTATACTACGGCCTTGTGGGAATGTGCAATTAGCTCATTGCTTCCTAGCTCTGTCATGCTTTGGTGTATAAAACATACACACTGGGTTCTCATGCTTGGCTGGGCATGATTGTGATGGATGCTAATGGAACACAGAGGGGCCTCGGACCTGGAGAAACAAGGCTAGATAAACCAGACAGAACAGGTTCTGGGTTCAAATCCATGATCACTTACTACCTGTGTGGCCTTTGCAAAAGCACCTGACCTCTCTGAACTTCATATTCATCATCCTTGAAGTGAGAATTCAATGACACCCCATCTTTATTGAACTAAGACAGGCCAAATAGTCAGCACACAAAAGGCCACAATTGTCATTCTGATCATGGGTCAAACCGCTTACTGGAACATAATACTGTATAGAAGTTTTTGAATGGTGCATCTTTATTGATTTTAGGACGTCAAACACATTTGATAAATGGGGGAGGGGAGAGTGCATGGACCAATATCTTATCGATCAGTTCACCGATGCTTTTATTTAGTTTGAAGGCTTGGAAAGAAGAATCGCTATTAGTTCCCAGAACCACTTGTAATCAAAGTCCTTCTGTCCTTCCAGCTCCAGGAGATGCCGAGAGTTAGGGCTTAACATCGCAGAAAGTCCCACCGCTGCTCACACCCGAAACACAAGCAGTGTTCGTTCTGCCTGCATTTGCCGGTTCCTCGGCGACCACACTACAGGCACTACGCAAGAGAAAAAGTCAAGTAGTGTCTAAGTCCTCAGAGACCGTGGATAACTCGACTCTACCTGGTCAGACATTCCTTGGGTCTGGTAGAAGGGGCTGAAGGCGGGAACAGAAGTTTCTGCCGGGTAGAATTGCCAAGTACCCCTGGGGAGATAAGGAGCATCCCTGTGAAAAGGGATGGTTTGGACTGAACCCTTCCGCTCCTGCCTTCTCTGACTGCAGGGGAATGGAAGAGAAGAAACTGCTGAGACTCTTCCTGGGCCAGAGCAATGTGATCCCAGGGTCCCGGTGTGGCATGGGGGAGGGGGTGGAGGTAGGGTTGGGACGAGAGTTTGTGACTTCCTTGCTCTCCTGCTCTGCTTTTTGGGATGCAGGTGGATAAGGCACCAGGTCATAAAAGGCTGAGACAAGGTCCAGCCCTGCTTCTGGCTCAAAGAATCCCAGTTCCCCTTCCTCCTGTGGCCTGCGGACAAATGCAATGGACTTTCTGATCTCCACAGAGAGCACACTCAGTTGGGCTAGAGTCACAGGGACATCACCCCAGAGGAGAGGCAGGCAGGGATGGTGTCTTCCCTGAGACACTGAGCAGCATCCTGTACAGAGCCATCTTCATACTGAGGGAAGGAGGGGGCTGGGAAGAGGTCAGAGGTGGAGCATGTGCCTAGGACGCCTGAGTCCCTGGGTTTCAGTCTCACTACAGTAAAACAACAATAAATAAATAAATAAATAAATAAATAAATAAATAAATAAATAAATAAATAAATAAATAAATAAATAAAATAAACGATAAGGAAGGAGGAAGAAGAGAGCAGAGTAAACTTGGGAGGACCTGGGCAGGTCTGGGTGAGGCTGCCCTGGTAAAGGGATCCTCCCTAGGCCAGCTGTCAGATGCAGCTGAAGACTTGCTTCACACAGGCCTGTGCCCTCTGTTGAGCTCACTCTCAGCTGATTGGCCTGCCTCTTCCTTGTTCTCCAGAAAGTTCCTTGAAGGTTAGTTATAGCTGGTCATTTTTTCCATGCTTAAGAGTCACCTCAGGGACTCCACAAAGGTAAGTAGATACGAAACGGGATGCACTCGGGTATGGTCAGAGTTGGAGGGAGGGCTGGCTAGGGCAGAATTTTGGAAACTGGGGCTCTGCTACCACTTGTAAGGGACATAATCTTTCCTGAACTTGTACGGCTGCGTGCTTAAAGGGCCACTGCTTTTCTCACCCACTATCCCTTCCTTTTCCTCCTAGTTCACCTCTGTCCTCTATACACAGACCGGAGACAGTAGTGTGTGGAAGCTATGGTTTTTGGAAGGGTGATTATGGATCAGGCCCTTGCCAGCGGCTTGGTATGCAGCCCTACATTACTGCCGCCATCCTGAACAGGCACTACTTAGACGCCAGGAACCCTGCTAAGAGTTCTGCTACTGTTCTTTTTCTCTATTTAAATTTTTTAAGTGATGGGACTGGGGAGATGGTTCAGTAGATTAAACTGTTGGCTACACCAGTGTGAGGACCTGAGTTGGATCCCCAGAACCCACATTTTAAAACCAGGCATTATAACCATTTGTAATCAGCAGAGACCATGAGTCCCCTGGCCCCAAACAGCACACCTTAGGCCAGTGAGAGACCTGTCTCAGAAACCAAGATGGGTGGGGCTGGAAAGATGGCTTGTCAGTTAGGAGCTCTGGCTGCTCTTGTTGAGGACCCAGCTTCAATACCAAGCAGTACTCGGTGGCTCACAACCACCTGTAACTCCAGTTCCAGAGGGTCTGACGCCCTTTCTGGCCTCCACAGGCACCGAGCATGCCAGTGATGCACAGACATACATTCAGACAAAATACTCATGCACATAAAATTAAATTCTAATTAAAAAAATAAATAAAAGCAAGGAGAGTGATGCCTGAGGAGGAATGCTGTCCAAGATTATCTTCTGGTCTCTACACACATGTTCACACACATAGCAAACACTCATGAACATGTACTCACTCTCTGTCTCTCTATTTTTCTCTGTGTCTCTGTCTTTCTGTCCCTGTCTCTTACAATGACTAGAGAATAAGTAGATGTGGAACTCAAGGTAGGTCACTGTCCAGGGGTCAAGGTCAGGAAGTGCCATTTTCTTCAATTCTGTTACACAATAATTTTCACTTGTGGTCCTGGGGCGGTGGCGCCTGGGGACTGTGTAGAAATACATATTCTTGGGTCTCACCCTGCACTCATTAGCGAAGGAGCTCAGCAGCCTGTGTTCTGCTGTGCCCTCCAGATGACTCGGAGGCTGGCCACAGTTCAAGATCCCTGGCTCCAGAGCAGTCTGGTGACTTTCAAGATAATACTTAAGCATCTAGCCAGCCCATTGCAACCTCCTACACTCAGTCATTTCACACCACTCTGCTCACTTCTCACATACCTGTTCCGATGGGAAACAGCTGACTAAGCCCTGAATCCAAGGCTAACCAAGGGGAAAGCCGCAACACGAAGACAAGGATGCCAAGCCTTTTGTGCCATCCTAGACATCCATCAGTTGTCTATAGACATTAGTAAGAAGTAAGTGATTTGTAGACAGTGTTGGGTTATGCTGTGTCACAAGAGATCTTAGTTGCCAAAAATTATAAAGGTGACCGTCTGAACAGCTGATTAGACGCACATAGCTGAATTTGATACAAGACAACAGGATCTTAAGTCATTGAAGTAGTGGAGATAAAGAAAAGCCACAGACTACAAACAAGGTAGGTAGGGCTCCTTTATTGAAACCTCAACTTAAGTTGGCCAGCTTGAGCTGAAAGGAGCTCTGACCAGAGGTAACCAGGTAATTCCCTTCAACAACAACAAAAAATGACAACTTTTATTGATTTTTCTAGGACTGGATAAAGTTTGGTAATAGTCCATTAATAATGGGCGTGGCTTCAAAGGGTGGTTTTCCTCCTGCTCAAACATTTTTTTAAAAGATTTATTTATTTATTAATGTATACAGTGTTTTGTCTGCCTGTATGTCTGCAGGCCAGAAGAGGGAAGCAGATCTCATTACAGATGGTTGTGAGCCACCATGTGGTTGCTGGGAATTGAACTCAGGACCTCTGGAAGAGCAGTTAGTGCTCTTAACCTCCGAGCCATCTCTCCAGTCCCCTGCTCAAGCATTCTGACATTGAGGTTTGCAGGCTGACAGGTGGTAACTTAACCCAGGGAGTACTGAGTCCTTCCTGTTGCTGGCATCATACGTCCTACATAAATATCTTGGCTTCATGGTTCGCTTTGGGCATTATGCTAAGGGTGTGTGTGTGTGTGTGTGTGTGTGTGTGTGTGTGTGTGTGTGTGTACTTGAGTGATAGGCACCTAGGTTTAGAATTCTTTTTTTTTTTTAAAGATTTATTTATTTATTATGTATACAGTGTTCTGCCTGCACATATCCCTGCAGGCCAGAAGAGGGCACCAGATCTCATTACAGATGGTTGTGAGCCACCATGTGGTTGCTGGGAATTGAACTCAGGATCTTTGGAAGAACAAGCAGTGCTCTTAACTTCTGAGCCATCTCTCCAGCCCTAGAATTCTTGTTTAAAAATGTTTCCCCTCGTTGTGAGAAGCAGTGGTCCATCGTTATATTCTATCAGAGCCATTGAAAAACCCAAAACCAATCTGACTGCTGCACCTTTAGAGATGATCCGTTGTTTTTATCTGCTTAGAGGATTTTGAATTTGCTTTTTTCCTGAGTTTTCACCACAGTACCTTCTGTGTTAATACCGTCTTTGCTTTCTATTGCTGTGATAAAACAGACTGACCAAAAGCAACTTGAGGAGATTGATTTGGCCTACACATCCCTACCCCAGCCCATCAATGAGGGAAGTCAGGGCAAAACTCCAGGCAGAAACCAAAACAGAGAATATGGAGGAACACTGTTTAGTGCCTTGCTCTCCATGACTTACTCAGCCTTCAACCCAGGACCACCTGGCCATAGGTGGCACCACCTACAGCAGACTGGACCCTCCCATGTCAATAATTTACCAGGAAAATGCCCCAGAGATTTGCCCACAGGATTGTTTCTCAGTTGAGGTTCCTGTCTAGGGCTATATCAAAAACTAAACAGCATATGTACTCTCTGAGTAAAGTTTTTGAATCTTCCATTTATAGATACTCTCTTTAGCTGTATTTAATAAACTGTTCAGACTATCTATTGTCTTTTTAATTTTAGCAACTATATGTTTTATATATCTCTTTATATATTTTATATGAATGTATGTATCTGAGTGTGTGTATGTACAGCCCCTACCAAGTATATTTTTAATTTCTAAAATACTAGGAATACTTTTGAGGTAGAATCTCACTGTGTAATTCTGGCTAACCTAGACTTGCTACATAGACCAGCTTAGAGCTCACAGATATCCACTTTCCTCTGCCTCCTGGGTGCTGGGATTAAAGGCATGTGCCACTATCCCTGGTAGCAATTTTATTTTTTAAAGTATCATTTTATGCCTTTTTAAGTTTTGGAGTGATTTCCATAATTTTTTTCCAAAATTTAAATTTGGAAATTTTCTATTTCCATAAATTTACATATTGATTTTAAATCTACTTTTTAATTGGTATCTGAAACTCCTGGAGACCCGAGGACTTCTGGGGATGCTTACTGTTGGTAATAAGCTTCACAATGTTTTCCAGTTTTGAACCTATTTTGACATGTGTTTACCACAGAGAACTCTTTCTGGCCTGCTTTGAAATGTATCCTTCCAGGTAGTTTTACACTTACTGAGTCCCTTTGGTTAGCCTAGAAGTATAAATTCAAAGTCTAAACTCAGGTCAAAGTCGAGAACTCCTTTCAACCTTTACAGACTCCAAGCAAAAGACACAGACTTCCTTGTTGTCTCGGTGTATTTTGACTAGTGCACCTCTGCACTGAAGCAACAGCCCTTAAGAGTTTGGATTTCCTGTCTTGCATCAGCACCAACGCCTCCTTTCCCTATGCCCATCAACACCCAGACTTCCAGTTCATCCCAGTTAACAGCCCTTCTTGTCTCCTGCCCTTCCCCTTACCAGGCCAACTTTCCTTACATTCTTGCATACAAGACCTGTGGAGTTTGATGGGGGAGGTATGAGGGGTGATGGGGGGGAATAAAGGGGGTGGGAGGGGCGGGCTAAGGAATGACTGTGTTGAACTGCTTAAATCTGAATGTGGGGCAGGAATCCCCCCACTACCACATGCACTGTAAGCTCTGGCTGGGCCTCAAATGATGAATCCCCAATGGTCCCTTCTGTCTTGTTCTGATGCCCCAGTTCATTCTCTAGGCTCTGTCTTTTACAAGTCACTTGCTGTTAGGCTTGCCATTTAGCCTCCTGGAGCCTTGCTTACTTGTGGAGGGAGGGCTGTTAAATACAACCCTCAGATCATTTGTAAACTAAGATAAAATGAAGTTCAAGGGCTGCCTGGTGTGGAGTACAATTCCACGGATGTGAGATCCACCATCTCAGCCTCAGCAACTTGGGCAGAAGCACTGGTTATGTGGTGGGTGGGCCTGGCACTGGTGTACTACGGAGCTGCGGAGCCTGTGGGGGCAGACACTGGGTGTTTGCTTCCCTCAGGATCTGGATAGAATGTTCCATGTGGGGCCAGAGTCTCTGTGGGAGGCCTCCAGCCAAAACTGAGCTGCTCCGAGGCAGTGTGTCGTGGAGGTCATTGGGGCATGCACACCTGGCAACAGCAGGACTTTGTGCCTGGATTGCCCACAGACCTGCTGAACTCTGCAAAGGCAAAAACAATTCCTTTGAGTCGGGCTTATGACCTTTGACTCCATTATCTTCATACACGCGGCCCGCTGAGCTATAAAAGCAGTTCAGTTTAACACGGTCTCCCCACAGCCTGTTCTTTCACGGTCACCAGACGCCTACACCAAACCAGAGGCCGCCATCATGACGAAGGACCAGAGTGGAACCTGGGAAATGGAGAGTAATGAGAACTTCGAAGGCTATATGAAGGCCCTAGGTAAGAGAGAAAAGGGATGGGGAGGAAAGAGACATGAGCACAGCAGACTGGTCCTCCAGGAGGTGCTAGCGTGGGACTCCCCAGAGCTCTGTGCAAATCCTCTCTCCTCAGTCATAACAGTGCAAAGTCAACTGAGACACATGCACTCTCTGAGGTTGTTTTCCTACCTGGAAATAATAAATGTAGTGGGGTTAGAATGTCCTTAGCACAGTGCCTGGCTTACAAAAAACACACAATAGAGGGTACATACACATGTGTACACACACACGCACACACACTCACCAGGTATAGTCTGCCCTAGAGGACATCACAATCACTCTCCTGCTTTGCCATCACCATCTCCTAGATAACCATTTGAATCAGATGTTATCATCAATGATTCCTATTGGAGTTTTTCTTCAACCTCGTCATAGAAAAAATCTAAAGGACCAGCTAGCCAATTTCTTTGCCTGGAGACATTCAGGCTCACAGAAGACTGAAGGAGGCTTCTACCATATGGTTCAAACCACCCATTGCTTGTCCCAGTTCCACGCTGGGCTCCAGGCCAACGGCTGCTAATCTGTCTACGTCCCGAATTAGTGACAGGCTAGGTCTGTAGGTCTCTGCGTTGGCAGAAACGTGTGGTCCTGGACACCTCTGAGCTGTACTTGGAAGGAGATGGAGTGAGTCTCCACAGAGGACCTCCAAATGATGGCAGCAACCGGGCACTGGGCAAGGAGCTTGGCTGCGAGCTGACTTCTTCCCACAACAGCATCGCTATCACCTTTTCTAGCCTGAAATTCCCTGCATATGGAGTTGTGTCCCTGTGTGTGAGGGAGCCACACAAGGATGAGAGAAATGGCTACACATGGCCTCAGAGCCCCAATAATTTGGATATGGTGGTGAGACATATCTCTAAGAATGGAAATTTTGGGGTTTTCCTCAGCATTTAAAGAAAGATAGGCAAAAAAAAAAAAAAAATCCTCTTACCGGGGTTCCACTAACTAGAGTTAGGACACCTAATTTATTTGGAATTGAGTGTAGAATGGTGTAGGCAAAAAGGGAATAGTCCTGTCACACTTCTGTTTGGCAACATAAGTGGCCAGTGGAAATGGGGTTCTGAGCCCACATATGTAACTGGTTAGAGCAAGGTTCAGAACCATAATTTTGAACATTATCATCAAGATGAGGTAGGCAAGCCCAGAGTGTGTACAGCCTAAGCTCCCCCAGGACTTAACTCTGTGATGTGGAATCAGGTTTTGGACCTTTTGTGACATCGGTTTCCCCATCTGCCAAATAGGAATGATGACACTCATATTGTGGCTTCCCTGGATGTTGCTAGGTGCAGCCACGGTTTGGACAACTGAAAGTCTTATCACACGGACTGTTTGGAAGCACCTTGGTTTCATAAGTGTGCTAGACAAGCCAGGCACGTAGATGGTTATCAGAAAGCTATGTGCCTTTTTGCGGCATTTGCTTAAATGGTAGGAGTCTCAGGGCCAGCAAGATGGCCCAGTGAGTAAAAACCCTTGGTGCACAAGCCTGAGGATCTGAGTTTAATCCCTGGAACCCACAATGGAAGGAAAGAACCAACTCTCAAAAGTGTTCTTCTGGCCTCCACACACATGCCATGGCACATGCATGTCCCCGACCCATGCACACACCATGTATGTACATACACATAGTGATAACACTGCACAAAACCAATTCCTAGTTGATTTTAGGGATAAAATCCAGTTCCAGTTTAGTATATGACCCCTTGGGTAGACCCCTAAAGTCCCACTCCTCAATTCGAAGATAGAAGGCAAACATTACCATCCTTGATTCTTTTCCCTTGAGAGGGATGTTCAGGGTATACCCTTAACTCGTTGAAAGAAATCTCCTATCTACATCTGGCTCTCTTTTGACTCTTGTACAAGCTTCCAGCTCAATGGGAATGAGAGGCTTACAGGTTATGAGTGTGCTGTTGAGATACTTCTGGACTGACTTTTCTAATCCTTAGTGTCAGTTGCTTGTCTCTTTGGGTTTCAGTAAAAAAAAAAAAAAAAGGGTGCAATTGAACTTGTTAGACTGATCTCACTCTGATGAGCAGACTGAGTCAACTCTTTGTAGAAGGGCAGCCGGCACTTTGAGGATTGAAATGGCGGTCACAGGTGATAGCCCTAGCAAAACACAGAATGTGGGTGTCCTTGTGCTTGCTTTGTCCAGCTGCTGATGGCATTCTGTCTCAGGGTCCTAAAGACCGGCCCCACCTCGACACCACAGATGCCCTGCACAGGAACACCTCAGCCAGAGTCACTTTCCCACCTCTGAGACAGGGCACCTGATTTCCTTCCCTTGCCCATGGGCCGGGCAGGGCTGACAGTGATTGATGTCAAGGCACTGAGCCGAAAGCAGACGAGGAGCGGCTGCCCCGTCATTCTCACTTGTCAAAAGCCTTGCCACAGGTTTGTTTGATTTCTGCCACACCCAACTGAAAGGCAATGTTGTTTTCCCAAGCCTGGGAAATCAATGAAGCTTGCCTTCTGTGCCCTTTCGTGCACTTGGCATTTGGGATGAGCATTGCAGAGATCTTTGCAAATCCCCAGATGTGTAAATGCCATCAGGTGTGACACTGTCCTTTGCCTAAGAACCATCACTTTCCTGGACTTGAACTCTGTCCATCAGTGAGGGGATTGGCTTTCCACTGTTCTTTGTGCAGAAGGGAGGGAGCAGCACAGGGCTTTGTCGAGAGCCCAGTGGCTCACTGGATATGCTCGTCTCCACATGTGACTCACACACCGGCCTCGGCAGAGTGACGTGTCACAGCAACCTTGGAGTTTGCCTGAGATGATCAAAGTCATTAAGAGCACAAGGGTGAGTGTCCACGATGATTCAGTGGTGCCTCCTCTCCTGCCTTGGGCACTTCAAGGCTTTGGCAGACTCTTTCTGACCGTAAAGAAAGCAGCTTGAAGGAAGATCCTATCGACCAAGGAATCTGTCATGTCCTACCATCCTCCTTTCAACCAGAAAATGAGGAGTTGGAGAAATGTCTCCATTTCTAAAGGAGGGGCAGGCAAAGCCGTAGAAAGAAGGTTCTGATCATGTGAAGGAGACAGGAGCAGAGTCCATTAACTCTGCCCAAGGTAGAGACTCACCTAGCTGCCACAAGGAAGCATCAGCGGCTGCTTATGGAAGCAGAGGGTGAGTCGCGTGCAGCAGAACCCAAGCGGCTCTGCTCTTGAGGGAGTATTGTGGTCACTGGTGATGGAGTGGTGAATAAGAAGACTGCCCCCACACTCTCAGAGATGACTTCCTGGCTGCTGGGAGGGGGGGGGGGTGCTGAGAGAAAACACCAGAACACCGTGCAAGATGACTTTAGGTAACGAAAGCATTTTAAAGACTACAGAAGAGAACAATGTATGAAGAGTGACAGAAGGTCAGGAGAGACAGTGCTCAAAGCCGGGAGCTGAAGAGGAGATGTGTCCCCAAAGCGAGGGACAGTGAGTGCAGAAGATGTGAGTGTGTCCAGGAAGGTACACCACAGTAAGGCTGGGGTGTGGGAGAGTACAAACAGAGGGAAGATAAGCGAGGAGGCTGAGGGGGAAAGACAGGCAGAGGTTAGACCAAGAATTCTGTTTTTCCTGTTTTGGCCTCAGACACTCACTACACAGCCAAGTAGGGCATGGCCGTGGACATGCTGCAGTAAGAGCTAGAGCTTGGAGTGTAGTCAGGTCTGAGGACAAGAAGGATATTCTCCATGTGATAAGATAAAGAATCTGAGAAGGAGACTTGCCTAGGGACACATGTGACTAGGAGATGGCAGGGCCCGACAGGAACCCAATCTAACTCTTCTAACAACATGCTAGTCAGTCCTTCCCGAAGAGCTGCTCTGGACAGGAGGGTGCCAAGTGGTGGGAAGGACTTCATTCTGAGCAGAGCTTGCTAGATGGTGGAGACATCCAAAGCAGAGCGACAGCACCTTCAGAAGCACTCGAGGGTCACTCGGGATCTCTGAACTGACCATCAACCCGTGTCTGATGGCCTGGGAATGAAGTTAGTGTACAAAACTCTGGATCTCTGCTGGCACTGACAAGCCAACCAAGCTATTCAGTTCATCAGAGTCTTAATTGCACCACATGGTCCCTAGTTGGACTTTCAAAGGAAACTGTGCCAAGAGGCAGAAAAGGCCAGACGGCAATGATAGGTGCTTGCCCCTCCTCTGGTCCCACGTCCATGTGCTGGTGGCACTTCTACCCTGACCCCACCACAGCGGAGAACATTAGACTGAGGGTGCAGAGTGCAGAGTACGTGCCAAGCAGCCCAGGGTCACCAACCTGCCTAGATAGCCAGGAAGGAGTGGGGGAAGAGAGGCGGGGGCCAGTCTAATTCCCTTCTAAATGTGTCCTCTGGAGGAGGAAATGGTATGGAAAAAAAAGAGAAAATTGCTCTTCCACTCGACTTCTCCCTATTGCCTGGAAGTGTCGATGATTTGAGAGTTAAGGAGGCCAGGTTCAAAGCCCATTGAAGCTGCACTTTGAACTGTTCTCAGATTTCCGGTGATGGATCCCTGCGCATCTCCGCTCTTTAATTTACAAAGAGCACCTGCCCTTTTAGCTTCAACTTGAGCTTTCTTCGCAAGCACATTACAAAGCATTTTAATGTCGAGGAGCATGCTCATATTTCAGCTTTATGGCTCGCGTTGTTCAAAATGCAGTTATGAAAAGTATGCTTAATAAAGTCACTTTGCTGTTGTCGATTTGTTTTTCCGCAGCAGCAGCAGCAGCAGCAGCAGCAGCAGCCATAAGCCACGTATATTATTCAGAAATAGCTTGTCTTTGGACCTTTCCTTCTGAGATAGCAAGGCACTTCGCCTGACTATAAATCAGGCTCAGAGGTACCTTTAATACCGAAAAGCAGATAAAACAAACCTGATAACACTAGTGTTAAAATATCATATCACGGAAACAGTTTCCTCTGCAAAGTTCAAAGAGGAAGTGCTTGTGTACTTTGTGTGTGTATGTGTATATGTGTACGCGTGTGTGCACACGTGCACACAAGTGTGTGCTCTATGGCTACAGTTAAACCCTTTTGATTAGAAATCTCTAACAGGAAATCCACCAGCAGAGGATTTGGCTCCCGTCCCCGGGGTGGAGCCGAGATGACATGATTAACTGGCTTGTGCAAATGCTAAAGGGTGGCCAAGAGGCCAAGCCATTTTTCAATCTGGAGGCGAAGCAGTGTTTGCTTCCATTTGCATAGAGCCCCTAATAACGTTCTCCCGGCCCTAGTCAGAAAGATTGACTAGGGTGCTGTTTCCAGGACACGCCGGCTCTCTCGGCAACTGGTCATTTCACTGGGATCCACTTTTCTAGGCAGCCGGGGACAAGGCACAATTTTTGCTAGGGAGCCTAGCACGACGGGTTGCTTTTGTAGGGGCACCGCGGAGCTGGACGGTGCTGAGCCCACCACTTCAATCCTCTGCACAGTGATTTCTACTTCCACAGAGCGAATATAGACTTGCTTGCTAAAGAACAATCTGTTCGAAATTCCCCCACAATTTCCCATTCTTCCATAGTAGTTCGCCTGAAGTGTTCCCCTTGATTTCATTTGGTTAACAGCGTCCTTTGCCTGCATCCTGATGATAGCTACAGGAGCTCTGGTTAACATAACAGAGACTTCAGCATGGAGGCTTTGAGCAAAAGCCACTGACCGGGCAAACTAGAGAGGAGAAGCTGATGCAGCCTGGGAGGTCTCCCATTCGGCTGGATAAAGGGCCCCATGATAGCTGCAGCTACAGAGTGAGGTGTGGATCCAGTAGCTACAGGGATACAGAAATATGGTCTGAAACTTTTGCTCTGGGCTAAGCTGATCCAATCCCTATGTGACCCAAACAGACAAGGACAACGATGGAGGCCTGTGTGCAGGGAATAAATACACGTAAGCTCTTGGGGACCATGAACAGCCTTTCACCATAGAGTTCACTGAGTCCTCACCACAATAACCACATGACATGAGCCTTCTCTCCTCATTTTTGTCAGGAGAAAACTGAGGCTCTGGAAGGAAAAGTGACTTCTGTAAGGTCACATAGCTGAGAAATAGGGACCAACCTGCCCCTCCCCCTCACTCTTTGGTCCCGTTGGTTCTAAACTGTGGTGTGCACCAAGTGAGTGGAAACAGATTTCCACAGGGTTTCTAGGTTCCGATGCTGCTGCCAACGGTAGTCCGGGGTCCTGGCTTTAATACCACTGCCCTGGACCATGCTCCTCCATTAACAAACCCATGTTATCTGAGCATCTACTATGAGCCTAGCCATAGGGCTAGTTCTGGTGGGGGGCACATGGGGCCAAACTAGGGAGGCCAGAATAATCAAGCCCATGATAAACCCTTGCTTCTCACTTCAGCAAAGAAATGTGGCGTGTCCCCAGCCTGAGTCTCTGGTCCTGAGCACTTTGCCTTGTTAAAGAAATGAATGAGCCTGGCTGCACACATCATAACCTCCGCTACTCTCTCTGCCAACAGATATTGATTTTGCCACCCGCAAGATCGCAGTACGTCTGAGTCAGACGAAGATCATCACTCAGGATGGTGATAACTTCAAGACGAAAACCAACAGCACGTTCAGGAACTACGACCTGGATTTTACTGTTGGGGTGGAGTTTGACGAACACACAAAGGGCCTAGATGGCCGACATGTCAAGGTACTCCTGAGTGGGAGGGTTTCCATGGGGGTTGTTAACTCAGGGGATGGCGCTCTGGCTTCACAGTGATGAGGTGACAGAAACAGCCCCAGGAAGGCTCCAGGAAGCAGGACCAGAATGGACTTCCTGTTGTTGGCAATGAGTAATCGGTGAAGGCTGAGTAAAGAGAGGCAGGGAAAGGAGAGAGGAAAGGCTTTAGATCATGTGAGAAATTTAAGGCAGAGCCCCGTCCTCTAGACTACATGGCTGAGCAGGCAGGGGAAAGAGGGCAACAAGGATTGTCCTAAGATGGATAACCGTGGAGTTCAACCAAGCAGTTTACCTAGGTGTAAAGAGCATCCACGCTCAGCTCTAGCCTGCCCAGCCCAAGAAAGGATGAGGTTTCACAGTACCTGCCTTCCCGTTGTTTTGTTTTTGTAAGGAATTACCGAGAATTCGGGTGTTTTTGCATGTAACGTCTCACTTTAAAATGACCCAATTGGCCAAATTCCTTTTTAGAAAATCATGATGCAAATGAACTATGACGAACTCAGACTCAGTCAAGTGGGTGACCCAGTTTCAGTGACTTGCTGTGGCTTCTGTCCTAGCAGAGACTTAACTCCTAGGACACACTCTAGGAAGCCCCGCCTGAGTCAAAGACTGTACTTCCAGGATTTGAACTGCAGCAATCCTCCATTAGCCAAGTTCTCACTTCCCACAGTTTCCATTACCCATGGTCAACTGCAATCTAAAAATAGTGAATGGGAAATTCCAGGAATAAACAATGCCAAGTTTTAAACTACGTCCCACGAGCAGCACCGTGCAGTCTCCCTCACCGGGTCCACCCTGCCCAGTCATTTCTTTGTCCAGTCTATCTACCCTGTGTACATTACCCACCCACCAGTCACTCGGTAGCCATGTTAGTTCCATAGAATATATAGGGTTCAATTCTACCTGAGGTCACACTAGGCTCTTGGGACCTAGACCTCACTGATGAGAGAGAGCTACTGTACTTGCCCTGAGCAACCCTGAAAGCACCCAGGAAACAGCTCTCAAGAAGGTGGAATGTTATCATCTCTAAGCCCAAGACCTCAGTTCTAAGAAAGGGTTGGCCCTTACCCAGAGCAGCTGCTCATAAATACAGCAGAGGCTGCTAAGCGGCAAGGAATGTGGGGAGAGAGAAGTAGAGGCAACAGTAGCTCCCCTACATCGCTGTGTGGTGTCCCTGCCCAGGGGTCTGCTCCCCACACTGTGTTCCAGTCTTTCATTGTCCAAACCATTACACCTGGCCAGTGCCCTCCAAACAGGAAGAAGAGAGATTTGATCTCAGTCCTACTTAGAGACTCTCCTGCTTGAGCCTTAATATCGTAGTCCTGAAGATTGTACCAAAGACCTGGAAGGGCTTCTCCTGGGTTGCCACTTGTCCCAGTGGCCATTGACTGTACTGTCCATGCCCATGTACTTTATACAAGGCTGCCAGTTTGGATATTCACAGCACTCTCTGCCAACTTGGTTTTGCCAGGCTCCTAACCAAAGAAAGACTGAGCTGAATATGCTGTCTCCAGTAAATGAGTCCTCATCCCCAGCAAAGGTCCAGCCCCTTGGGATGACACAGTGATGCAGGATCCTCCACCCTTCTCTGCCCATTCACCACAGCCCCCTTTTTCCCAGGCAAGTCGCTGACTGCCTTGTTCTTCCAGGAGCTCTTTGGAAGTCTCAGATCTCTCCCAAAGCAAGTGGCATAAGTTCTGGTTCCTCTCCTGGGCTGGGAGTATTAGTAATTGGCTAGCTGTAACACGAATTTTAAAAGGTCTTATTAAATAAAAATCCCAGAGCTAGATATCAGGGTTAAAAACTGAGAGATCAGAAGAATAGGAAAAGCCACAGCTAACCTCACCTCACCAACTCTGCAGCTTCCAAAGAGACCTACTTCCTATATACCCATGCCTATATGCCTTTCTGTTCTGCCAACTCATTTCCTCTCTCCGCCCAGTTACATCACTTCCGGTCTGTCCACACAGACCTCCAGACCTCTATGGTTAATGCTGGGATTCAAGGCCTGTGTTACAATGCCTGGCTCTCTTCCCCAGTGTGGCCTTGAACTCACAGAGATCCAGATGGATCTCTGCCTCCTGAATGCTAAGATTAAAGGCATGTGCTACCATTGCCTGACATCTATGTTTAATATAGTGACTGGCTTTTTCCTCTAATCCTCAGTTAAACTTTATTAGGGTTCACAATATTGGGGGACACAATACATCACCACAGCTAGCTGGGATCTTTTAGCTCTACTAAGAGAGAGACCATGGAGCACAAAGGAGAAAAGCTCTTCAAATGCTGTTCCCTAGCCACTTTTATTTCCCCTATTGTTTGGCTGTAGCATTTGGCAGCAATAGGCAGGTGGGGGTAGCAGGAGGTGGTACCCTTTAACGTCATTGACCCTACGCCAGTCTCGGGAATGGGGACCCTTAGCCAACAGGTGTTAAAGCTCTTCTGTAGATTACAAGTCCAGATGACCTAACCCTTCCCACTGACCACTGCTAGAGCTCTTAGGCTGAGTGCCTGAGATCCTTGGTTCTAAACACATGACAGCTCTCTGGAAACCTAGTAACCTAGAAATCTCTTCTGTGGCTCTGTCCAGCTTTTTATCTTTCTTAAGTATCAGCTCTCGGAGGAGCCTGCTTAGAGAGTCAGAGAAAGCGGTGCCAGGACCAGTCACAGCCTTGCCTCTTTAGACCAGTCACAGTGCTTTCTCTTCAAGGCCGCCAAGGAAGGTAGAAGAAGCGGCAGATCCGGTTAGCGGTCACCAAGGCCTAGGGTAGTACGAAGTCTGGTACAAACTGTTTCCAGCAACCCTGGCTAAAGCCAAGCCTTCAGAAGCCAGAACAATTAGCTGTGGTCATCAAGGAGCCTTCTCAAGGCATTCATGGTATCTTCAAGATGGCTGATGCCATCCTAAGGGCAGTCCAGCTGGACTGACAGAGCTTGTGCCCAAAGGAGTGAGGGCAGCGAGGCAGAGTCCAACATCTGCTAATTAGGGAATCCACTTAGCCCATGCCCCAACATCTTACTCTCAAGAAACACCAGGAGGGGCGCTTACCATAAGAACCTATCTGTAACTAGTAGTGATTTAAACCTACTTTCACAATGCTTGACACCTTCCCAGTGTCCTAAGGAGTAGTGGGTCCTTTTTCCTGCCTCAGGAGGAAATGCTGTTATTCTACAGTGGTGACTCATGGAAAGCAGGTCACAGCTCCCAGTCAAGGTGACCTGGCACTCATAATCTCATCTATCAAGGAAAATTAGATTCAGTGATTCTTGCTGAAAAATGACAGGGGTGAAAAAGCATTGGGGAGTTCTTCCATCAGAGCTGTCCTGACAAAAGAAAGTCCCAGTTTAGGACCCTTCCCTGTGGGTCTGTGCGATGATAGAGCCACAAGCCTTTTCCAAACCTTGGCCAAATTCGTCAGACACCAGAACTTAAGGGAAAATGTGTCTCCGAAGCTCTGCCTCTCTCCACTGTTCCAGCCTAATCAGCTCACAATGATTCCTTCCCCTGCTCCTTCAGTGTGAGGTGTGGGTTCTTGAGAGGCAAGCTGCTCCTCTCTGACTTGTTTTTATCACCGGTGATGACAGGAAATTTCTTCTTTCTGAAATAAGTCACGCCCTTCTGGCCTGTCCTGATTCTGAAAGAATTCCACCTGTCACCACCCCTGGCCTCTGGCATCACCATTTCCCATTCTCCTTCCTCTCATCCAGATCATCACTTTGCCCTGAAGGGAGAAACTAGTCTCTTTTCTATGGCTTCTCTCTTCTTTGCCTGCAGCAAAAAGCCAGGGATAGTGCTCTCTGTCTCTGTCTCTGTCTCTCTGTCTCTCTGTCTCTGTCTCTCTGTCTCTGTCTCTCTCTCTCAGTACACTCACTGTGTGTACACATGTGTTGCACAGATGTGCAGGTGCGTGTGTTTTGTGTGCTGTAACTCTCATTTGGCACACTCTCATTCCCTAGGGCTCCACTTCTCAACTCTCTGATCATATTCAGAACCTTCAAGAAAACTTGACGTTCATTAGAGAAAGGAGTGGTTAGAGCAGGAGCCCTGAAGGAGCCAGTTCTGTGCCAGCCCGGATCAGAAGCAGAAGTATAAAAACACAGCAAAGATAAGGCTGATTCCAAGGGGCCCAGAGCCCCTCCCTTTCTCTTCTCAGCACCATATCTGTTCCCCACTTGTTACTCCGACTTGTTTATAAGAAGGCTAAAAGTCCCTTCTCAAATAAACAACAGCAGGCATGGAGGTGTGGCTAGCTGGTACAACACTTGCTTAGCATGCACAATGTCTTAGGTTAAATCTTCAAAGCTTAAAAGATACACATATATTTGCATGTAAAATATAGAGAAAATTGAAGGGCTTGGGAAGTACCCAGCCAACAAAGTTCTTGCTGTATAAGCATGAGTTCTGGAATTGAGTTTACAACCCCAGAACTATGTTTAAAAAAGCCAGGCACAGCAGCATACATCTGTTACCCCAGTGCTGGGAGGTAAAGAACAAAGGATCTCTGAGGCTTGCTGGCCAGGCAATCCAGCCAAATCAGGGACCCTGTCTCAAAAAGTAAGGTGGGGAGCAATTGTGAAAGACAGCCAATATTTGTCTCTAGCCTAAACACACACACACACACACACACACACACACACACACACACACACACACACTGGCAGACACATACAAACAAACATTGTTTGTACATACACCAATAAACGAGAAGTAATTGATATCCATATAATGGAATCAAGTATACACAGCCATAAGAAAGAATGACGTAGTGATTCCTGGTATAGTGTGAATGAACCTGGAAAACATGCTAAGCCACAAAAGCTACACACCAAAGACTATGTGGTTATATGAAGAACTATGACAGGTAAATGCACAAGGCTAGGGATAGAGGGCAAAAGAAGCAATACTGAATGCGAGTAGATGGAATACTGATGCAAGGCGATGAAGCTGTTCTGGATACAGTAGTGATGACGACCACACAATCTTGGGAATATACGAGAAAAAAAGTTGCCACCACTCTATAGAGCTCTATAGAATTGGAGACATTTGCAGAATGAATTTTATGGTTTGCGATAATTATATATCCATTTTTTTAAAAAGTAGTTGAAATTGGAGTGGGCCAGTGAGGGGGTAGAGAAAGCAGAGAGTGACAAGGCAAATTGCACCCTATAATTTGCAGGGGGGGGGCCTCCTTGTCTGCAGGTGGTTGGAAAAAAACTCTCCAAGGAAAGTTTCAAGGATGAGCATCTCCACAGGTCAATAGATTCCAGTCCATGCCTGGAACTTATAGCTGTTACTTTCCCTTCTTGGGGAAAGTGATTCAGATTCATAGCAAAGTCACAAGAGAACAAAGACCAACTTTGCACCCTTCACTTACCGGTTGTTGGTGCAGGAGAGATGGCTCAGCAGTGAAGAGCCCTAACTCCTCTGTAAGTTCTTAGCACTTCTATCAGGTAGACTACAACCACCTGTAGCTCCACCTCCAAGGAATCGGGTGCCCTCCACCTCCACAGGCACCTGCATGTATTTGGTAATGTAACACATGTAAATTTGTGTAGGCACATACACATGATAATATTTCTTTAAAAGAGTTGCATGTTATTAATGTTTGCCCCGTGTGTTTTTATCATGGTCTCACATTCTCTCTGTCTCTCTCTCCTCTGTGCCTCTTTCTCTCTCTCATACATGCACATTTGTACTGAACAATCTGACACAACCTTCAAATGACTGTACCTCTGAAGAATTAAGCTGTTGGTTCTCTTCCCAGATCCCACAACTTCATTAGCCCTGTGTAGCTGGCTTGTTTTCCAGTACCAGGCATGATTCTCCCCTTGGTGAGTGAGCCTTACAGCCACCTAGAGAGCTGTTGGTTACCTCCAAGGTGTGTGTACCACTACTGCACTCTTGGGGTTGTCATCCCATGATGGTTGTTGTGGTGGTTTGTAGGTGTCATAACAGGGTAAGGCTGTTGGTGGCTTCCCTCCTTTGAAAGCTTGCATTGCACCTTCTAGTACCATGGAAGACAGCCCAGGCAATTAAGGAACGCTGAAATTGGGAGAAATTCCCCAACTGGCTATCCAATAGTCAACCCTGAAAACATACAAGTAACATTATATGGACTGCACAGGCTATACTCATGGATTTAAGAACACATGCACATGCATACGTAACAACAGTTAAAGAGACCATGCATCTGAAGTGGGGTGGGCGTGGAGTTTACATGGGAAGGTTTGTAAGGAGGAAAGAGAAGGGGAAATGATATCATTAGAATCTTAAAATTATTATTATTATTATTATTATTATTATTATTATTATTATTATTATTTTGTTTTTCCCAAGACAGGGTTTCTCTGTGTAGTTTTGGTGCCTGTCCTGGAACTCACTCTGTAGCCCAGGCTGGCCTCGAATTCACAGAGATCCACCTGCCTCTACCTCCCAAGTGCTGGGATTAAAGGCGTGCGCCGCCGCCGCCGCCGCCGCCGCCACCGCCACCGCCACCACCACCCGGCCAAATCTTAAAAATTATTTTTTTAAAGAAATAGGATAGTCTTCTATAGGTCCATGATTCAGCTATTGACTCACCCAGATTAAACATTGGGCGGCCACCTGTATCTAAGTTGACTTAAAGAACCTTTTTGAGAGATGCTGACTTTGGAAGTGTGAGAGGAAAAGTCACAGTGGGGCTCCACCCCCTGCCTCTGTTCCACACAAACCTGTCCTTTTTGGAGCCCTCTCCATGTCCATCTCCTCACTCAGAGGTTATGGCTTCCTCAGCTGCAGGATCTTTCAAAACAACCAAGTCTGTGTTTCAAACCTCTTCAAACACAGGGATGAAGTCATCAACTAAAAGCTGGGCATGGTAGCAAAAACTATAACTCCAGCACTCTGAAAAGTTGAGACAAGGTAATGTGGCTAGTTCGAGGTCAGCCTGGACCATATAGTGAGACTTAAGAAGAAGGAAGAGGAGGAAGATAATTTAATTAATAAGATGTTTAAACTTTGGAGTTGGTTCATCTAACTGTTCTCTTCTTTCTGCCTCTCGCTGTCTCATGTAGGAGTGAGCCCACAATCTTGTAAGCGTTACCACAATTCATTGGTAACCAATTTACTTTTGGGTCAGAATAATTTTGAATCTTGCTGCCCAATGTGAGTTATTAAAGTGAAATATTAGGACAGGCCTCTTTGCACTAACATTTTTCTCCTTTCTCCATTCTGAAAATTTTGATAAGCCTGCCAAGTCTATGTCAGTGAGGTAGGTGACATGATGAATTAGCCACCCCCACCCCCCCACTTCCTGCTCTCGGGGATCTCAGGCCTCATACAGAAGACAGACAATTAAATGGACAATGTCTATTGCACATCCCCCTTGCATGGGCATGTGCGCTCTCTGCTGGGACCTCCTCTAAGGCAGGAGGTGAGTGGGCTCACCCAGATTAAACAGTGAAATTTCCTTCCCACCGTGGCTCCCTAGCTCGGTCCATTCACAGGGATAATTACTACTCAGGGTCTAAGCGCAGGGAAACATTCGTACCCCTCACCTGGCTCCCTTGTCGCATGCACACTGCTTATCATGTTGCATTTTTAAACATTTAAACAACCGGCTCTGGCTGTATTCTTCCTATGGCTGTGAAGCAGGGAAGAATCACATCATATTTAACCAGCCCCCCACTGACAGTATTTATGAAGCTTCCAGTCCTTTGTTGTAACGCGCAATCCTGTGATGCATTGAGGAGTAAAAATGGAAAGGAGGGACACTGTACATAAAGTATATATTATGGTCAAGGTCAAATATTGTTTTAAAAATAGGTAGGTTTAACAACCTGTAGAAACCAGGTCTGTATAATACACAAGGAAAAGAGATTAAAAACCTACAGGTCCATTTATCATCAGTAGGGTTTACAAGATGTAGAAGAAACAGGTCCTTAGCCTAATTTTGTTTAGAAAAGCACCAGGTGGTTTATGCATACATGGGGGGGGGGAACAACCCAGCTGTACCAAGCTCATCCCCCAGGATACAGACGCAGTGGGGATGGCATAAACAGCTCGGCAGGCGCAATGAGTGGGCCTGATCTGGGCACCAAGCGCGGTATTAAGAGAGAAGCAGGACTGTCTAGAGAACACACACCTTGCAAGTGTGTGCATCGGGGCTTGCAGCCTCCTGGGTCCTGGCAGGCCTCCGGCTTCTCTGACAACTGGCCAGCTCAGCTTGGCTGGAACGGAGGATGCCCTTCATGAGTTCTGCTGCTATTATACCGCTGGCATCGCTACCCAGAGGAAATCTGAAGAAAAGCAGGTCCACCCTCCTCGTTCTAGGTGATGGAACCACGTGAGCAGCAGCTCCCCAGTTAGGGAGCCTCCCTGCGTTTATTTCCACCTACGGTGGACAAGGCTCAAAATGTGATTTTTGCAGGAAAATTCCCAGGGTAGAAATTTTAGGTCGAAGAATATGCGCAGTTTCATCAGAGATGATAAACCCAGAACTTGGGAGGTGGAAGCAGGAAGGTCAGGAGTTCAAGGTCATCCTCAGCTACACAGTGAGTTCATGGCCAGCCAGGATTTGGTGAGACCCTGTCTTGCTATTATTTTTAACTATTAAAAGCATATGAAATAGGGAAATTTCAAATAATAAATTAGGTATTGTTGAAATCATGTAAATAAGTAAATAAAAGCAAAACCATAAGCAAAAATATGTGCAGTTCCATATTTTGGAAAGCTAATATAAAACCACTTGAAAGCTAATATAAAACCATTTGAAAGCTAATATAAAACAGGCCTTGCAAAGCATTTCTCTTCCCACCAGCCCTGAGCGAGGGTGGGCAGGCCTCCCCTCAGTGCTACTATATCTTTGATCTTTGACCACATGATTAATTGGATCTGAGGAGGAGTCTTATCAGCATTTCTCCTGTTATTTGTGAAGTAGGCTATCTCTTGTTATGTTTAAAGCCATCGACTGCATGAGCTTCCCCTATAAGCCCTCGGTTCATATGTTTGCTTGGCGTGGACTGTTAGGTTAATGATCTTTTTATTGATTTACAGAGGCCCTTTATATATAAGGACATCAAGTCTTTACTGATATGCTACAGCTCCTTTTCCCTGTTGGTTATTTGTCTGTTGACTTTGAGGTATTTTCCCTTCCAGAAATTTCACATTGTTAATAGTTGAATTTATCATCTTTCCTTCACTAGCTCGAAATGCTATTTTTACCAGATAATAAAATGGTTGAGTAGAATTCCTTAAAAGAGAATGCCGACAGCCCAGGGAGAAACCAGCTTGGCTGGAATGGAGGGTGTGTGTGTGTGGAATGGAGACCGGAAGGTCCCCGGGGTCACTGAGACAGGACTCTGTCCCATGGGCATGCAGGAGCCTGGCAGAGATTGCAGGAATCGCGGCTGCAGATGTAAGCTTGCTCAGTTTCCCAAGGCTATCTGTGTAATTCACCTGACAATCTGTCCTTGCAGACGCTGATCACCTGGGAAGGTAACACTCTCGTGTGTGTGCAGAAAGGGGAGAAGGAGAACCGTGGCTGGAAGCAGTGGGTGGAGGGAGACAAGCTGTACCTGGTGAGTCCTGGGGTCTGTACGGCACCTTCTGCAAAGCTCACCTGGCCGGCAGCTTTGACAAGAAAAATGGCCCTGAGCTCCAGCCAAATGCATTTGGTCATACAGTCAGAAAGCCATTCCCCTCGGGCTCAGGGGACTTTAGGAAGAAATCTATATGGCTGTTTCTGTGAGCGGCTGCAATTAAAAAGAAAGTTTAAAATGCTGAGTTAGGAAACTGGGATCCAAGGAGAAATGCAGATAGCCAGCTAAAGAACAGCTGGGGAGAAAGGTGAGGACGGAATTAACCCGCCTGGAGGAAGACAAGAAGACCAGGCATCCTGTGGGTTACTGGGAGGTGATTGTGGGGGGAGGGGAGGCTGACAGCATGAGGGGTGTGGAGAGTGTGGTGGGGGCATTGGCCTCTCACCCTAAGCCTTGGAGCCTAAGGCATGGTGGACCTGATCCCAACTCCTGTGAGGTTACTAGAACGGAACAGTAGGAACAATGGCTGACATCTTTCAATAAACTGTCACTGCCTAGACAGCTTTGTTTTTCGTTCTTTCATCTTCACAGCAATTTATGGGCCCCACATCAGAGTAGTGAGAACAGTTTCATTCTTTCAAACATCCAGCCACTCATTTGCTGAATGAATAGCTCCTTCAGCAAATGCATCCTCATTCATTCATTCATTCATTCACCTATGGAGTCAGGCAGGTACCCAGCTCTAAGGTCAACCTGAATGTCACTAAGACACTCTTCAGAGCCGAGCTAACCTCACCTGAGATCTTTATTTCGGGGGCATTGTCAGCGGATGACACATGAGAGGCATCCCCAGTGTTTCCCACTGGCAGCTCTCCCTTGCTTGCTGCGGCTTGGATGATAGAATTTTTTTTTTTTTTCGAGACAGGGTTTCTCTGTGTAGCTTGGCGCCTTTCCTGGAGCTCACTTGGTAGCCCAGGCTGGCCTCGAACTCACAGAGATCCGCCTGCCTCTGCCTCCCAAGTGCTGGGATTAAAGGCGTGCACCACCACGCCCACCCGGCTGAATTTTTTTAATTGTAGGGCCATCCCCAACAGTACCTGTGGCTAAGACAACAGATTCGTGGCCGGCTGCAGTGAGCATGGTGGCCTTGCTCATGCTCACTCACCCTCCTGCCTCAGGGTTCATTGAGATGCAGACCTGAGGTTCTCTCTACCTCCATGAAAAGTGGGACCCTGTCAGCTGTGCTGGCAGGCCAGGGGGAGCCCTTCTGAAGCTCCTACTGTTGGGCCCCCGCTAACCACCTGCCTAGTGCTTCTCCATGCTACCCTTCCCTTCCTCTCGGCTCCGCCACCTTTTAATAAAGTAGGCAATGTTGCTTTAATCATGGGAGTAGGAGAAATCCTGCCCAAGAGGGTCATTTCTTTGCATTTTTCATTTTTATAGTTGTTCAAGCTCAATTTGAGTGTCAAAATCAAATTACTGCTACCTGCAGGGCATGGCAGCCGATTGGGTCTGGGAGGGACACTTTGCCCAGAACAACTAAATGTCCTCTTTATTCCAGCCTCGCCCACCTGCCCCAGACACTAAGAGGGCCAGGTGGGCAGGAGGAAATCTGAACTAGTCAGTCACTCGCCCACTTTCTGGTTTTCAGGAGCTGACCTGTGGTGACCAGGTGTGCAGACAAGTGTTCAAAAAGAAGTGATGGCCGCGGGGGAAGCCTGGCACACATACAGAGTTCTCTGCCAGCTTTGGAAAGCGGCGTGGGGACCCTCCTGTTCCTGACAGAGCCCACTTACGTCACCTGCCTATGTTTAAACTGGAGTGTGTAAAGGAACCCACCCCACCTCCCACCTTGGAACCTGTTATTAAATGAAGAAACAAAATGCCTCTCAGCCTGCGAAACCCTTCCCATTCTTTATTCCTAGTTGTCCGTTTCACCTACAGGCAGAGGGGGCACCCCTGTCTGCCAGGCTTACCATGCTCTTGGGTTTCATTTTCTTTGTTTCTTTTCCTCTGTTGGGTTTGTTGGAGGTGTTAGAAATGTCTTCTTCTAGACACTGCCGATTCACGAACACCTCTGGGAGACAGTTCTTTGGAGAGATGCGCATCCCTCCTATTAACAGTCTATATAAAGATTCATCTGCCATCTGGTTTGCACCCTGTCCTCAGCAGACCCAAGAGAGCTGCCCTAGAGCTTCGGCAGGTCTGCGACTTCAGCTGCTCTTAGCTCTCAGCCCTTCAGCCCTGCGCCTTGAAGTGGGTTACGAAGCACCTGCCCATTCACACCTTCTCCTGCCCACCACCCACCCCACCCACTCGAGATACTAAAGGCTGTGTGCTAGGAAGTCTGAGTTCAAGTTCTGCTGCTCTACTGCGAGGCTAAATGACCACAGACACATTGTTCTCTCTCTTCTGTAAGAGGAGAAGATACAAGGTCACTGGGACAGCTAAGCAAGTCAATGCACCCTCAGTGCTTGGCATGGGGCCTGGTCCCAGTGAAGACTTGGTCCATTCCGGATTTGGGGTTTGTTCTAAGTTACTCCCTTCGGAGCAACAGATGAGCAGAGACACCACAGTGATAGGTCAATACCTCTAACACGTCACGGTGTTATCGGAATGTTAAGCTTGATACTCCAAGCCAGACTGTGCTTTCCTGCTGGACACACAGAAGGGTGCACCTGCAAAGACACGGTGCTTAATGGTAATATATCTATGGGGTTTATTTATGGGGTTCACTGAGTCAGTCCTGCAGGTCAAAACCATCTTTTTTTTTTTTTAATTTTATTTCATGTGCACTGGTGTTTGCCTGCATGTATGTCTGTGTGAGAGTGTCAGATCCCCTGGAACTGGAGTTACAGACTGTTGTGAGCGACCATGTGGGTGCTGGGAATCTGAGTCCTCTGGAAGAGCAGCCAGTGCTCTTAACTACAGAGCCATCTCTCCAGCCTCTCAAGCCATCTTCTTTATCCCTCTACAAAAAGCCTGGCATCCCACCAACAGGTAGATACTTTCTCCTGAGAGGAGCAGAACATGGTGGCACCTTCCTATAGCACAGTGATCGGATCTCACAATGCTGGCATCCTGGAACTGGGAGATAGGCAGGAAGGCTGACATCCACCCATGTGGCCCAGGGCCATCCTAACTCACACACTCTGGCCCGGCAACCTGTGAAATGGGGCTCCTGGCACACTGTGCTTCCCAGCAACCATGTCATGTGCCTTGGGACAAGAAGGCCAATGAAGTGCCTGGCTGGAGCATCATGGTGGGGTGTGTGTGTGTGTGTGTGTGTGAGGGGGTGAGGGGGGGGAGAGGGACTTCCAAGGGAACTGATTTAGTGAGAAAGTGGGATGTGCCTTGGAGGCAGCTGAGCCTCCTAAGGAGAACTGGGCCCCATCTCCTGTGCAGACCAGGACTGAGGGAAAGGTCTGGGGTGTACCCTTGCCCTGCTTTTCCCAGAACTTTCCCCGGGGCCTCATCCCCCAACCACAGCTGCCCTCAGTCTTGTCCTTGCTCAGTGTAGTCTCAGATGACCCTGTTTGTCTCAAGAAAACCCAACTGAATGAAGTAATCGTAGCTGTTTGAGGATCAGCTGTAGAAGTATCCTGAATACAAAACAACTTTAATATCTGGTAGTTTTTTTATCCTAGGTTCCACAAGAAGTATTTAAGAGAATAGTAAATCCCCAAGACTCTGTGAACCATGGGAAGGATGGACCTCAGAAGTTGTTTAGAGCATTTTAAAGTTCTGAAAAGTCTCCTAGCAGTGGAGCTCACCCTTGAATGACAGGACCCCTTCCACACAGCAGCTTTGCCCCCCTGAGAGGAGCGGAAGCGCTGTGCACTCTCCTCTAACGGGCAAACCATTTTCCACGACAGATAGCGAGCAGCGTAACTTGGAACTCTGGTCTCCTAATAGAACGACCTCAGACAACATGTTCCTCACAAGCGATAAGAAACAGAACAAATAGTTCATGTAGGGTGCGAAGGAGTGAAAGTGGCTGATAATTCTTTTCAAAGAAGATGTGACTGAAGTTGAATGAGTAATGTTGGCAGGCCAATTTCAAAGCCAGGGCGTGTGCTCTGCACCAGGGCTGCCCATGTGTTCCTGTACCCACTGCAGATAGGATAAGTCAAGCCACTGGCTTCCTGTTTCTTACCCTGTCTGAAAACAAACGTCGACATGAAGGCCTCACCCCTGCCCCACAAGCCATGTTGACTGGAATGGAGTGAAGAGTTACATTTGGACAGCCAATGGGGGCTGAACTGAGGGCTCTAGAGAAAGTGGGTCATTGGGCCGGGGGACACCTTGAGGTCTTACGGCCCATCCCTACTTCCTGTCCACTCTCTCCTTCCTGGCTGCCAGTATAAGGAGACCAGCTGCCCCATACTCCTGCCAGCATGCCTTCCCTGCCGTGACAGGCCACATCCCTACCTAACCTGGGAGCCATGGCAAACATTTCCACCCTTAAGTTGCTGCTGCTTGTCAGAGGTTTGATCAGAGATGCAAGGAAAGTGACTAATACAAAAGTAAGAGAGGCCAGCAAGATGGCTTCGTGGGTGAAACCACTTGCTGTGCAAGCCTGACAACTGAGTTCAGTCAAGTGAGGAGAGCATGGACTCTGGGCTCACCCTTGGTCCAAACCCAGATCACATCCCTCTCCAGCTGCTCCTGTTCCTTCCTCTCTTGAGCCTCCACTTCTTCCTCGGTAAAGTGAGGACTATTGAACATGACCCAAAGGAGGTATGAATAAGATACTAGCGTGGTATCTGGGACACAGTCAGTTACCCAAGTCAATTACCAATGCACACGCACTTGCGCATGAACACACGCTCCTCCCGAAACCCATGTATTAGTACTGTGTATATGATGGTATGATTCCCTTTGTTAAAAACACTCTCTTCTAAAGCTTAAGCACCAAGACCCCCTACAACAGGCATTTTAAGACTTGGCATTCACCTGGAAGTCTTACTCAAAACATGGATTCCTGCTGTGCATCCTTTCCAGGTTTGGGGAATGGACCTTTGTCTAGACTGTACCACTTCATCTCCCTGTAGAAGTTTGGCAGGCACACGGACAGCTCTGACTTTGTTCACTTAGAACATGGTGTGCTGAGGGATTCACCATATCCTCTGCTGTAGAGCAATTTCCTGAATGGGAACATTCCATCTGGAGGGAAGCTTGGTAGGATTCAGAATTTCTAAAGTAGGTAGTGGGGAGAGAGGTATCATGAAAACCCAGGAAGTAAACAACTCACAAGTCTCAGGAAATCCCTGAAACCTACTAGATGTATGAGGCCTCTCTCTCCTCAAATTTATGTAAGCAGTAAGGACTGCTGATAAGAGATTCTCTGACCTGTCAACCTGCCTGAAAATAGGGCACAGAACTCCAAGTTCCAGCATCTGTTAGTTGTTACCCATGATAAGCTGGGAAGTTGATTATACAGTTGCCTTTGAGTCATCCAGTCTCCTGTAAGTAACCCCTCACCCATAATCCTCAAATAAACTCACCAATTTACCAAGTTGAACTTAGGTGGTATTGTTTCTTTGGTCTATCATCAGTTCCCTATCTCTGGTGAGTAGATTTTTGTTCATATCTCCCAAAAAATAGTTCATACAGCATTCTCAAGCCAAAAACCATCTTCATTGTTGGGTAAAACTAGTTAACCAGTGTCAATACGCATAGAAGGCTGTTCTATTAGTTACTGGTCTATTGCTGTGAAGAGACACCATGATAAAGGCAACTCTTTTAAAAGAAAGCATTTAATTGGGGTCTTGCTTACAGTTTTAGAGGGTTAGTACATGATTGTCATGGCAGGAAGCAGACAGGCATGGTACTGGAGAAGTAGCTGAGAACTTTATATCCTGATTCACTGGCAGCAAGAAGAGAGAGAGAGAGAGAGAGAGAGAGAGAGAGAGAGAGAGAGAGAGAGAGAGAGAGAGATTGGACCCAGTGTGAGTTTTTTAAATCTCAAAGCCCACTCCCAGTGATACACCTCCCCCAACAAGGTCACACCTTGTAGCTTGATTTTTTCGCCTTGCCCACAGTCAGGACAAATCTTTGTCACCCGCCAGTCCCACAGCCGCTCAGACCCAACCA